ACATCATTAATATACACATACATGCTATAGTAGAGACATTATTGATATACACATACATGCTATATAATAACATCATTAGTATACACATACACGCTAAAGTAGTGACATCTTTAATACATACATACATGCTATAGCAGTAGTATCATTAATATAGACATACATATAGTAGTATTATCATTAATATACACATACATGCTATAGTAGTATCATCGTTAATATACACATATATGCTATAGTAGTATCATCATTAAAATATACATATATGCTATAGTAGTATCATCATTAATATACACATACATGCTATAGTAGTAACATCATTAATATACACATACATGCTATAGTAGAGAAATTATTGATATACACATACATGCTATATAATAACATCATTAGTATACACATACACGCTATAGTAGTGACATCTTTAATACATACATACATGCTATAGCAGTAGCATCATTAATATAGACATACATGCTATATTAGTAACATCATCAATATACACATACATGCGATAGTAATAACATCATTAATATACACATACACGCTATAGTAGTGATATCTTCAATACACACATACATACTATAGTAGGGACATCATTAGTATACACATACATGTTGTAGTAATAATATCATTAATATACACATACATGCTATAGTAGGAACATCCGAGCCACTGTTAATATACACATGTATGCTATAGTTGTGACAACTGAGCCTCTGCAACTATAAACCCGGCCACTCTCATATGTATCTACTCACCTAGCTACTCTCAAAGATCTACCAAAACAAAGAGAGCATACACTCATCGGCACTTCTATAGTGATTATACCCATTAGTGTTGTAGTGGTGATGCACAAGCCTTTAAAGTTATCATAACCACAGTCGAAATCAGCATATGTACCAACGTTAAGTAATGAAATCAAAGAAATAGAGACAGTGAAGTGTTACTACAGTAGAAGTATATTGCAGTGTACGACTATCGACTGTAGTATGGTACAATAAACTATATACAGTGGAGCGACACACCTCCAGGTACACAACCTCGCTATATACATTAAGCAATTACTTTAATTAATTATTAACATCTGCGTCTCTGCGTTATTGAGCTCAACTACTCGAAACTAGCACACTAACAATATTACACTCAACACCTACACACAAACAGTACCATACACACGCCTACAGATGCACAAATGTTTTATATACACACGACAATCTCACTATGAACAAATACATACCTACAGCCTCATAATAAACACACGTCTACAAGTACATAACCTTACTACACACACACACATCTACAGCCTCACCAACCACACACATACACACCGGCAGCCTCACGAACCACACACATACACACCGGCAGCCTCACCATACACACACATACACACCTGCAGCCTCATCATACACACACATACACACTTGTAGCCTCACCATACACACATATACACACCTATAGTCTCACCATACACACACATACACACCTGCAGCCTC